AGCTCATGAATCAGCTGACTCACTGTTGCGAGGTAGTTAGTACCTGTCTGTCTATACTAGACCAGTGGATACTATTCAAATAATTTTTTATTTCACTGTTTTAGCAGAAACCCTAAACAATTGGCTGTTCTTATCCAACTTTGCTTCTTCTCTTGAGGGCCCAGCACAAATCATCACTCCCCTCCGATGCCTTCAAATCCCTTGACAGGACACTACAACATGTATCGAACTGCTTGTCTTATCGCTCTGTTCCATATCTGGTCGTGTATGGGGCCAAACGCTTACCTTTTCTTTTGTGTATTTTCGACAGCGAGCGGGAGGGATAAGGGAGAAGAAATACGAGCATGAGAAAAGGACGCAAATGGGATCTGTTCATTGATGCATGGAATGAAAACAACCTTTTACTTGGTCTCACTTTCAAATGGATTGTTAAGGTAAACTCTTCTCTAATTGCTAGCTAGCTAGCTACTCTCCAACGCCTAGCCTTGTTTGTTAGCAGTTGAACTTGCTCCCTTCATCATGATGAATCGTTTTTTGAAGATTTGATGGGCAGAGACTTAGTTTCAATTAATCCATAAAAATTAATCTTAAGCGAGGGATTATGGATGATGTTAATCGGGTATTGTGCTTATATTTAAAAATGAATTAATCTCAAGGAGGAAGGATTATCCTGCCAAAAAGGATCATGTAGATGTTGCGTAGACAATGACATGGTTTGGTCAAATTTTATACAATTAATTATAAATCATGCAATGTCAGCATCAAGCAAGGGCCAACTAGTCACGAGCCACAGTTCATGTATGTGTTGAATTCCAAAATGGATGCTACTAAACTTGATTACTGATTTTGTAAGATCTTAGATTAAAGATCGAGATCCAAGTGTTTGTATAACAAGCCTTTTTTCAAGATATATGTTCTACGATGACATGATAGGATGTTGACGAGAGCAAAATATGCGAAAAAATAATTATTTTCGTGTTTAAAAAACAATATTTAAAAAACAACTTTAATAATCGTGAGAAGAAAGCAAAGCTAACTATGACCCGGTATCATCCGCTAAGTTTGAACTTTTATCTTCATCAAATTTGCCCTGGTGGTTCCACAGCTTTGCACTTTTTGCCCTACCTCTGATGAATTTGACGGCCCACCCTATCGACAAGGAGGGCCATGCAGTCAGCAAAAGCAGCCTTGTTCTTCATCCAGTAAAACAAGAGAAGGTTGCCCAGTAAAAAACGTTCAGTGTTTTAGTCATATGCCCAAAATTCTATGCAATGATCATTCAGAGCATTTATTCTTGTATAAATGTTGAAATCTAAAGGAATATTATCTCCACCTATGGTTTTTCAAAGCACACCCAGATATGAAGGCGGCTTTATAATCTCCAGTTGGTTCTTGAGATTGCATGGAGCGAGGAGGGATGGTTCCACCTACCTTCGAAGCCATGTTTTTCCTTTTCTGTAGCTTAGTCTGCTAATTTATAAAACTAATTTACCAATTCCTAGAAAATTATATATAACAGGTAGTTTCATTGACTAGCCTGGATCATCCTGTAGTGTTTTTTTTTTTTTTCAAAAATAAGTTCACTCCTAATCAAATTTTCTACTTGCTTTCTTCTTCCCACCTTGTTTTTCGAAGACAAAATAAATTGGAAAAGAATATGGGCTTGATGGAGAGAGTAATTAAAACATATACATACAAATTTTAAGAAATAGAAATTAAATGCTTCTTATTGAGTTGTAAGAATTACGTTATAATCAACTTTTTTCTTGCCTTTTAATTACTGTTTGATTGGGCATGTTTGAAATTGTATTTTAAAAAATAT